CTAAATGAATTTAGGGTAATTCAAGGCAGACTCACCAATCTTCAGCTTGCAGAGACTTACCTCAGGCTCAGAGAATTTGGGTACAGACGGCGAGGGGAGTCCAACCTCCCAGGGCCTGTGTTCATGGGGGAGCCATTGGCAAAAATTCATCTTAGTGTGCATTTCCTTTTTGGGTCCTTTGCAGGGGCTGGCCGAGAGGTTGAGATCCACTCATCATCGTCCCATCTGGGTTGCCAATAGTGTAGAGTTTAAAATTGTCCAACCTACAACAAAAGAGATTGAGGCAGAGCTCTGAGCCAATGGCACTTTATTAAAGGGATCATGGTCCTCTCTAATGAAGTAGACTTCAGATCTTCCTCATGATCTGAGATGCCCCCTTCTTCCAGGACTCTATTTTTCATAAGGTTTGATACCTAAACACTCTAGAGAGGCTCCACAAAATACAGAATCCCACCGGTTGATAGACCTTGCCTTGAGGGCCAAAAAATGTTGTATCAGCCAAAAACTGGTATATCAGTGGAGGGGGAGGGGCGGGGTGGTCTCAGGTTGGGCAAAGCACGGGACATCTCCACCGACATAAGATGTTGGACAAGAGAGGGTGGTCTGGAGGTACAAAAATAAGTTGGAGGACTTTCCATGTAATTGAGTCGACTCCACCACACTGGGCTTGGTCAGTATAAACAAGGAAAAACAAGGGCCGAAGGCCTCTAGTTAGTTTCCTAGGATTAAGCAAGTGAATTTACAATCTACAATTCACAACTCTGGAACCTAATATACAGAACTTACACTCGCTACCACTTTGGAGTCATATCAAACTGATTAATACTGATTGGAATAAAGTAGGGGTCCAAATGAATCATTTCTCACACATCTCAGTCTCCTGGTGGTCCACTGTGGGATCTGACCTCAGCCCGGCACAATCTTCTCCCTGTTGTGGCCCTGAGAGGCCCTCGTGGGTTGCTGGAGATCATGATGATCTCAGGCCTCCTTCAACGAACCTCTGGCTCGGGCACCTAGGTGCTAAGTTGGCCCCATTTTTAGTGACTTGCCTAGGGTCACACAGCTAGTAAGTGTTAAGTGTTTGGTCTGAGGCCGGATTTGAACTCAGGTCCTCCTGACTTCAGGGCAAGTGCCCTATCCACTATGCCACCTAGCCGCCCCTAAGTTGGCCCCATTTTCTAAGTTGCTCCTATTTCCTATTGTGTCTCCTAGTGCTCTGAAGAGTGAAGAGCTGGGTCAACTCTGCACGCAGTGAAATGTGGGGACTAGTTCTTTCTCTGCCTCTGTTCTGATGAGCCAGGATCATGTTTCTAGTGTCTGATTGCCTGGCTTGCATTCAGAGCTCTGGTTGGCTGGCTTCAGGTTTGGTTGCTGGAGTTCATGATGGCTTCCCTGGCATGGCCTCCACTGACTTCACACCTGTTTACCTGCCATGAGTCTTTCCTCCTCATCTGAAAGCCGGAAGTCCAGTTCTGGATCGGATCCATTTTGGGGGGGTTGCTTTTCTATTGCTCTTTCTAGGTCCTTTTCAGCTATTTGAGGAGGGGGGATGATGTGGGAGAGCTGGCCATCTCTATGACCTCTCACGTGGTCCTCTTAACTGGAAGAAGCTACTGTACTTTTAGGAGGCAAAAGGAAGGTTGCTAAGCTGGGGAGCATCCAGAGGAGGGCAACCAGGACAGGTAAGGGCCTGGCGTCCATGAGGTGTGAGGATCTGTTGAAGGAACTGGGGGTGGTTATTCTGAAGAAGAGGGCGTCGACTGTCTTCCTGTCCTTGAAGGCCAGGTGGCACGGGGATTATTTGCTTGGCCCCAGAGGGCAGTGCCAGGAGGACTGATGGGGGGAAGTCCATGTCAGGAGAAATATTCCTGATGAAAAGTGGAGGGAGATCCCTAAATCCCTACGGAGAGTCCGGATGACTACATCTTGTATATGCTGAAGGGGGATTTCGCTGGTGTATGTGTTCGACTAGGTGGGTGCTGAAGGCTCTGCCAGCTCTCCAATTTGGTGACTCTTTTGCGAGTTCCAACGTGTGCACAGAAAAGTAAATCCATGGTAACTGGAGGAGAGTGAGGACACTAACAGTTGAGTGGATTTGAGGAGAAGAATCTGGGAAGGCTTGAAGGATGACAGGGATGCTGAAAGGAAAAGAGAAAGACAAAGGCGCAGATTCCTTGCAAAGGACAGAGCCTTGGTGGGCGCCTAGAGCTGGGATTATGGGAAACACAGAGTGCACCTCTTGGGGAGGGGGTGTCCTCCTGCAATGGGGAGCAAGGGTCAGCAGGGTGAATCCTAACCCTCCGAGCGGCTTCATTAGCTGATCTTGGGCCTAGCCAGACCTTGCCCGACTCCTCTGTTTCTTTGGCCTGGTGACTCCCTTTTCAGAAGGGTTTGTGTGATTGTGTCGATGGGAAGGGATGACCCCTCAGGGGCTGAGAACAATTTAGCTTCCTTTTAAGGGAAGGCCCTCAGCCCACCCACTGGGATCAAACTCGTCTGGAGGAAGCAAGCCCTCAAGGGGGGAGCCACTTCCTCTCCTCCCTTTCCCTGCCCCCAGCCAGGCCCAGAGCATTTCCCACCCCCACTTCCTTTCCTGGATTGCACATTTTAAACAGGTGAAAAAAAGAGAAAGCTTCAATGTGTCTGGTGATGGCAGGGAGGCTAAAGTTGGGGGGGGGGGGGTCCTCCATTGGCTATTTCCGGACCCTCATTCTTCTCAGAGGCAAAACACAGGGAGAAGGCCAAGGAAAGCAACACTAAGCAATAGAGAGACAGAGATATAAAAACAGAGGAGAGAGTTGGAGAGGGAGAGTCAAAAACAGGCACAGAGAGAGAGAGACAGAGCTGAGGGCAAGAGGTGGGAAAAGGCTGAAAGAAGAATACAGAGAGAAGGAGAGAAAAGTAAGGGGGCAAATGAGGAGAGACAGAGACAGACAGGGAGAGAGAGAGGAAAGAGAGGAGACAGAGCCGAGGGCCATTCAGACCTGCCTCCCACCTGTGGGGGGGGGGGCGCTCTGGGCCAATCCTAATGGCAATGCCAGGTAGCACCATCTCCATGCTGCAGATGGGAAAACTGAGACTCAGGGAAGTTTGGGGCCTTGTCCAGAGTGACCCAGGCCTTCCTGACTCTGAGCCCAGCTCTTTATCTGCTACATACGCTGATTCTTCATCCACTGCAGTAGCATTGTTTTGATAAATAGAAAATACTGAGGTTAGGACTCACCGTTTGACAAAAAGTACTGGGAGAACTGGAAAGCGCATTTAGGCAGAAGTGACATTTAGAACAACCTTGCACACTATATACCACAGTAAGCTCCCGATAGATGTAAAAAAATCACATTATAAATAAATCATAAGCGCAAGAATGAAGCACCTTTTGCAACTGCGGCCCACCGGGGAATACGTAGGATCACAGAAAGTAAAATGGACACTCTGGATAGCTGAAAATTGTATACATTTTTGCACAAACAAACCCAATGCAGTTTGAATGAGAAGGGAAGCCAGTGATTGGGGGGCGGAGGGGGAATCTCTGCAACAAGTTTCTCTAATCAACGTCTCATTTCCAAGATAGACAAAGAACTGAATCCAATATATAAGAATAAGAGCCATTTCACAATAGATAAATGGTCAAAGGATCTGAACAGGCACTTCTCAAGCTTTTAACAAACATCAAAGAATGCTCCAAATCACTAATCATTAGAGAAATGCAAATCAAAACAACCATAAGGTCCTACTTCTTGCCCACCCGATTGGCCAAGATGCCAAAAAAAGGAAAATGAAAAATGTTGGAGGGGCTGTGGGAAAACAGGCTTACTTGTACATTGTTGGTGGATCTATGAATTGGTGCTGCTGTTCTGGAAAGTCACTAAATTGTGTACACCCTTTGCCCCAGCAAAGGTCTTTTTCTAGGCCTAAGGTCCAAAGGGATCAAAGAAACAGGAAAATGCCCCAGATGGGTATTATTATAGTAGCAAAAATCTGACAAATTAAGGGGCTTCCCATCAATTAGGGAATGACTGAAAATATAATGGAATGTCATTGTACCATAAGAAATGCCGAAATGGACAGTTTCAAGTTACAGAGAAAGCTGAGGAGCCTTATGTGGAGTCGCTGAAGTCTCCAGAGAATGAAGTTAGCTGCACTCGGAGGTAATGATAACAATGTGAATACTCAGCTGTGCCCCGGCTAACTGATTTCACTTCTTTTCTCAGTATGTTAAGCGTCATCCTGAGGCTTTGGC